TTCTCCATCGTTGGCAGAACTGAATTAAGGCATTGTGTTTTTATTACGATGAATTCTTTGCTGGAGAAGGATGAATCTCGAGGAAAGAAAGGTAGAACTGAAGATGGTGTGATCCAGATTGATGGTGATTTGCAGGCAGATTGGAATGACTTAGTCAGGAAAGGCCGTACCAGATTTTCTTACTTACAATTCGCCAAGAAGGTATGATAATCTAGCCTTCCAATTTTCCCCGCTTAGAAAAAAATCAATTGTTTTTATCCTTATGTTTCTTCTTCTATTGTAGGGTGAAACAAAGTTTACACTTCCAACAGTTCTCAAGTACACTAGAGAGGAAGTGAACCTTGCCCACTACATATTTGCGAAGGATCTTCCAGAAAAGGAAGTCCTGGTCGAAATCCTGATGCAATCCTATACACGACAGGTGTTGTGGTCCCTCTGCCCTAAGTCTAATGTCGCTGATGATGTAATTACAGCCATGGCTTGCCAATTGAGCCTGGAGGAAGTTTGGAGGGATTTTGGAGATGGAAGAGTAGTCTGTTATCTGCCTGCTGAACTACAAGTATAGTCTCATTTACTTTATATATTTATTTCAGGTGCAATATTCCGTTTCTCCTATTAAATGTGTTATCTTCTATTTTAAATGAACCATGATCAGGAAATGGTGATTAACTATGGAATGACATCAAAAAAAGCTCTAGAGTGTTACGGTGCAAAGTTCTTGGCAAGAGCTCACACGTGCAGAAAGGTTTCTTCTTAACAAGTCATTTCTTGTTGCATTGAAATATTCCTCAATTACTGTTTCTAGCTACTGTTTGAATTGGATATGCGAATAAATTAGATGCTCCATCAAGCTTTTGATATTTCTGTAAATTTTATTTTACAATGCTCAGCTGAGTTTGGTCTTTCTCGTCGTTATTTAGGTGTGTCTGCCCATGAAAGATGCAATGGACGGTGATGCAGTTCACTGGTATTTAGCTGTCATTATGCTGGATGACAAACAAGTCCATCTTTTGGATTCGTATCCTTCTAAAAAGCGCCAAAGATCTCGTAGAAACGCAGTAGTAACTATGGTATGGTTTGACCTCCTGATCCGAATAATTTGTGTTTTCATCTATTTCGAATAAATTGATTACTGCTTATGTAGATCGAATTTCTTGATGGCTTGTTTAAGGATCTTTATCGGCAAGTGGAACCAACACTTGATCCACCTGTGCTGGAAAAATTTTCTCTGACAATTCCTTCAATTCCCGAACAACGTCACGAGTAAGAATTGTTCGTTGTGAATAAATTAGAAACATACTTAGATACCCACAACTCATATGCTGCATCTTATTTTATGTAGGTCTGATAGTGGCGTTTGGGTGTGCTCATGGATGATGGGTGCATCTTGGGACTCTTCTTATAATATATGGGTAAGCAAGAATTCTCCTACTTGGCCTTGAAGGAAAACAACCTTTCGAAACAGCTACTAAGCCTCATTGTCATTGTCAAACTGTTGCAGCCATGCGGAGATATAAGGAGAATGCAACTAGCTTTATATCTGGTCCAACAGCCTACAAATTACATAGGACATGTCTTCATCGAGGAAGCAAATAGGAATGCATCGAGATTTGTTGCCCAGACTCGTAGGTACAAGGAAGAAAGCCAAAAGAGCGTAATCCAGAACTAGAAGATTCATAGGGAGATAGTGGTTCATTTCTCCTGCACTAGTATATTCTGGATATTGGTTCCTGCAAACGTTTATGAATTTTTTGGTTGATTAGTTGTCCTGCCAGTACTCTAGTTTTGTTTCACTTTTCATTTTTGTTGAGAACCAAAACAATACCCTTGAATTGTCTGCTTGTCTCGTTCCCTTTTCATGTTCGTTGAGAACCAAAACAATACCCTTGAACCTCTTTGACTTTCTGACGATATTTAGTTGTCCTGCTATGATTTAAAGACAAATTAGTTGTAACTGACTTTAAGTTACAGGGCCTAGTTGGAGAACTTACTATATATACATTATCAATCTACCACTATCTCTACCACTATCTCGATACGATCCAGCTCTGAGCAACTAAAAACACTTGTTATTGGGTTAAAATTTTGTTATTGAAGCTATTTGTTGGATCCAACATGGTTAGGTTTGCTCCGATGAACGCATACATCTCCGGCGTCCTCCGGTGGCATTGGCAAGATATGAGATATCCAAAGGCCAAAGCCAAGAATTGGCGCGTTTTTTGGGACGAAATAAAGATAAACAAAAAAGCCCACTGACCAGACAAAAGGTCAAAGTCGTCTTCTTCTATACAATCCCAGTCCCTTCAATCCCATAATGAAATCACGGCAGTTAAGGCTCATGCATAGGCACCTTCTTTAAGCCTTATCTCAGCTGAACAAGCATCAGGAACAAAGTCACAAAAACGAGAACCAACATTCGGATTTAAGAAAAAATAAAGGTAAACACCAAAACCAATCTAAAATGAATTCAGTTGGGATCAAAGCGATAGTAAAACCGACCGACTACCAATAAAAGTATAAAACCGACCGACTACCAATAAAACAAAAACAACTACTTTTCTAAAATGAATCAAATAAACTCCTCTGGCATTTTGAGCTGATTTTCCCCTTGAAATGTCTTTCATAAACGGCCCTTGCTTCATCAATAATTTGAGAGCGCCTTGTATTTGAGAGATCTTTGACTAAACTTATGGCCAAGGATAATCGACCTCTATTACTACAAACCTGCACCAAATTTAGAACATTACTCTTAACATGTTGATTTCGATTTGATAGTGTAGAATCTCACGTGGATGGAATCATATTTAGAAGGAAAGGATTGTATTATACCGCCGTATACGAATTATTATCAGCCTCTCCGTGCAACATCCACTGACAGACGTAAAACCCGCACTCATAGCTACGTGGAAAAATAGCATTTATTATTGAAAATAAGATTGTTTATCGAAATGAAATAATCAAAATACTCAAAGAAATACTAACTCATCAATTTGCTTAGAAACGTATGGAGGACTTATGATTTGGAACTTATGCACTTTGGGCACTTCATAGGTTGATGACTTGTCTGGAAATTCTTGAAGCATCTTGTAAAAGAATTTCAACTGTAACAACAAACTTAACCACGTAACTATTATAGTACAAAAATTTAGAATAAGAAAATTTACTTACTAAATTTATAGAAGGGAATAGTTTGATCACCCACCATTCCTTGCACCCTTTTCCTACGATTTTCCAGCACACCCAAATCAATAGGGAAAGAGTCCACTACATGCACTACCTTTTGGTCCATGAAAACCACAATAAGAAACCAATGACGGTTCTCATCATTCATTGGCAAATATATCTGAAATAAATAAACAAGTAAATGATGACGAAACAATGAATGGACTATACAGTAAAGGGCAAAACATTAAGAGAATAGAGTACCTTGGAAAAATTACTAATATTATTACACCATACCTTGTTGCATTCAAAGGTGCCGCCAAGATATAGGTTCTTATAATTTTCCACGGCTTTTTTTGGAGTCCAACCCATTTTCAAAACCAAATCCTGGGTAGCAGTTCACATTCACTATTCAACTTTGGGAGAAAGAAAAAAGTAAAGTTACTGTAAAGAGTTTTCCATAATTGTTGCTTACCTCAAAATTGGATGGAAGATACCAAGGTCCATTTTTCCCCCAAGCCCTAACATCAACAGCTAATTTACAAGCTACAGCAGTCAAAATCTAAAATAAGCAAAACCAAAGATTAGTATAGCTAAATGTGGTCAAGTATGCCTTACCAAAACATAACTACAAAATACTTACATAACCATGAAGCCACGTTTCTGGCAGCAAGTCCTTCAGTTCTAGACGACTTAAACTATGGCCAAAATTCTCAACAAGCCATTTATCATCTTGTAGACCATCACCAAAGATGAAACACGCAATGGAACGATCCTCATCATTATCTAACGCCATTATTGCAGTCACCGGAAATTCCACCTACGATTTGAATTTACCAAAACTTACAATACATAGGTACATCATAAACATTTTAAAATCACACAGGTGTAATTTCTTTAAATAAATTCTATATACCTTCCCCGATACATTTATATATTCCACAGCCGCATTTTTTGGCCTCTTGTGTGAATCATCGCCATCTGCGTCTGAGTCAGAATCTATATAAATAAATCCGTTTACGCTAGGTGTGAAAGGAACAACAGTGGGAGCTGAACTTCCAGATGCAGTCATCGGAAATTCCATCTACGATTTGAATTTAACAAAAATTACAATACATAGGTACATCATAAACACTTTAAAATGACACAAGTGCAAATTGTTTAAATAAATTCTATATACCTTCACCGACTCATTTAAATCTTCCATGGCCGCATATTTTTGCCTCTTGTGTGAACCATGGCCATCGCGATCTGAGTCTGGGTTTGAATCAATATAATAAACTCTTTTTACGGTAGGCGTGACAGGAACATCAGTGGGAGGTGAACTTCCAGATGCTTGATCAAGAATGCGTTTCGACAGCCTCTTTAGCACTTGAAATTCAGTATCAGTTTTCATTATCATTGCAGTTAAAGATTTAATCTTATCGTACAACTCAGTGAACGTCGTCTCCATGGCTCCAAAGGTAGTCGATATGGATCCAACAACTTTCTTAGTATCATGGCTCGACATGCTAAACAACAAAACAAAAGAAAGAACATACATGAAACAAACAAAAGTCATAAACAAACAAAAGTCAAAGCGGCTTAAGGAGCGAATAAAGAACATACATGAAAGGAAAAGGGTTGTAAGAAAGGAACAGCACAAACGACCAAAAGAAAGAGTTATTTTAGTTGTTGCACTGTACCGAGATTTCTCCATTGCAATTAGTTTATCTCCCCGCCAACACAGAAGAAAAGCCTTACTTTTGCTAAAGTCACCAGGGAAAACGGCAGGAGTTATTTTTTACAAGGTAAACTCTAGGCTTGGCGTCCCTTTATATAGACCGCCAAACAACCCTAATTTATTAATACCATTACGTCCAAAAAAAGAATTCCTCTATTGACACCTAAACTGATCCAACTAAGGAAAGCAAGCCTATTAACAAGGAGTAGAGATTAAATCCCCACCAATGACAAGCCTATTTACAAGCATATTCCTCTATTGCGTTTGGCTCCACCACCGAATGAGGGAGGCCATCTCCACTGGCTATAAAGAACACCTGAAGAATGAGAATCAATTTATCAGTAGCCAACCTAGTACTGTTTCTTTCTTGACCAAAAAAAATTTCGGCCATCACTATTTATGAACCAAACACAGACGTAATTACACATATCACATATGCATTGGAGAGAGAGAGAGAGAGAGAGAGAGAGAGACAGAGGAAATGATAGACCTTCAAGATATCGAAGTCTTCTTCCATCATAACAACATCTAAATCATAGAATGCACGAGAGGGGCCTCAGTTAAGCAACACCCAAACATATCCCTACTGTAGCAAGATAATGTGTACAAATTATATACAAGCTTTAATGGAAGGTTTGCGAATTCAAAGTACAAAAGAGAATTTGAAGACCTACCAACGATGCTCGGCAAATGCTTAACAACACCGAGTCTCTGAATTTATCATCAATCAATCGGCATATCTAATCAAGAACCTGAAAATTATATGCAAGTTCAGCTAAGAGAAGCAAGCAAGACAAACAAAGAGGAGGCTCCACTGAAGGAAATTTCTCAAGCGAGAAGATCCAACATCACCTATTGGGCCTGGTACAAAAGGCCTGCTTAGTTTAGTTTTATGTTTTAATTTTACAAGAACTCATTTTATAGTTATAAATATAACAGTGGAAGTATATTGAATCAAAATCCTTGTTCAGCATGAATGGTGAAGAATGCCCATGGTAATGACCAGGACGCTGGTTCGACCCTCATACCATTACAAATTCTTTTTTGTTTTCAGCTACACCTATAGAACGACGCCGTTCTCCAGGCCACTTTCGATTCAGAGACGAGCACAAAACGATACCGTTTTTTCATGTATCGTCGTCTTCCCTAGCCCCCCCAAATTCCCAATTATCCAGTTGCCGCCGTCACCACCGTAATCTGACGTCCGTCTCGCTTCATCGTCCAAACTTTCTCACTCCGTTACGATTCTGGACTCCGACCAAGAGAATTCCCTTGACGAGACCCAATCCCCTCTCTCCATTTCAGCCTTAGTGATTGTTTACAGGACGTAAAGGTCATAGTCGTTCACCGTCAATTGACGGCAGCGTACCTACCCACCGCTATCGGCGATCCGCACTTCGGCCCACCTCTTGAGTCTGCAATCTTCACTTCTCCGATCCTTCCTCATCCGCCTCTCGAGCACAAGATTCAATCCATCATGCCTCGAACAGATCACTCTCTTAATCCATAGAGGGATTAAACATCGATGGGAAGCGCAAAATCCAATTGCTTCAATCGGCCAGGATGAGAGGAGAGGGTTCGTCAGCCACTACAGACAGCAATTGGAAAGGGGTTTTGAGCGTTGACATGAGTGGGAAAAGGAATAAATCACCAAACTAAAATTGTAAGTAAATATAACTTAATGGATTGGAGACATGATTAGAATAAAATTTGGTACTATAATTCGAAAATATGTTGAAAAGTTTGTTTAGGGGTTAAAGGGTACGCATAAAAAAGTAATAGGACCAACTAATCATTTAAAAATTGTAAAAATTAAATAATTTAATTCCAATTAATAAACACCGTTAGATTAAATCTACGGTGTAGAAATCCTGTCGCATAGTATGTGTCTGACGCATACGAGTGTGACCCATATATATATATATATATATGGGGAGTTCTACGGTACCCAGGGTGAATACTTCGGTGCACTCACAAAAATGAGTGCGTTCAATGCACCCTACTCAAAACTAGTCTTAAGGTGTGGGATTTTGAATTTTAATTTGTAGAATTAGTGTAATATGATGATATAACATATGATAACAACTAATTAGCGGATTACCCTAAGCCCTAGACCTCCAATTTTGAGTTCTATCCCTAAACCCCAAATTGTAAACTCTAACCCTAACCATAAATCTCTAAACTCTAAATCCTTCAAATTAAAATAAATCTTCAATGGTTGTTGTGCAAATTCATGTGCGTTATTGTCCATCACATCATAAGTGATGATAGACATCATTTTGACATAAATCGCATGTTTAAAATGACGGTTATGAAGCGAGTGCACTGAATGCACCCAAAAAAGTGAGTGCACCGAAGACGCCACCATATATATATATATATACACTAGCTTAAACTCAACACGTTGGTCGAACGACTCTTTCGAATTATTCCCAGACAAATGATTTGAGTTTGGTTGTCTTATACCTGACCCGTTGATCGGACCACTCTTTCAAATCATTGTAAGACAAATGATTCGAGTTTGGTTGCCTGAAATTCCATTATTTCTGCTGGAAAGCATAAAGTAAATCTAATCAATAAAAGGATAAGTGCGAAAACAATGACATGCGTTCTTGAGATGTAGATAGTATGGAGATTAACAACACTATGCATTGCAGTCATCCAAACCTCCAAATTTTCTTTTGACGAACTTTGTAATTGGTGTGACAGAAAGCATCTTCAATATTTACTAATTCACCATCGATAATGTCATCGGTTACTTATGGTGAAGTTAGAGGGGGAAATCTATGTTGTCATGGATTGGGAAGAAGATTGAGCATTGGCACGATTACCCTGTCGTAACAAACATGTTAGCAAGAGTGAAAATGGACATATGGATTACTTTGATGGATTGACAATGCAAAACATGTGTTAACAAACGGGCATGTGGATTACTTTGATGGATTGACATTAGAATGGTGGAGTTGAACAATGGCATGTGGCCCAATTCTTTTCAAACCTCAGCACTCAGCCCACTCCCTACTTGACCCAACTAAAGCCTAAACGACCAAGCCCAAACCTGCCACAACAGCCAGTCAGCCCACTCTCCTTATCCTATCCGAAAAACACTAAGACTAGCTGATGCTGAATGCTGAATTCGAAACCCTACGCAGCGGCCAGCCAGCAGAGAGGCGAAACCGAAAAGGCGGAAACCCCACCCGAGTCCCGACGGCATCTCCCGACTTCGGACTCCCAATCTCGACTCTCAACCTCTCTCTACGACTCTGCCTCTGTCCATCTCTCTCATCGCTAGTCCGCCAATCCACTCGCCGGCAGCCGCCTCCCTCCCACTCCCACCCGGCAGTCGGCACGACGGCACCCACACCCAGTCACCCACAGACTCTCCCAGCTCCCACCGATATAGGTGTCAATGGGGCGGGTTCGGGCTGGGTTCAATCGGGTTGCGGGTTTATCGAGTTCGGGTTCATTGGGTTCGGGTTCAAACGGGTTGCGGGATAGTCGGGTTGCGGGTTCATCGGGTTCAGCCAAATCGGGTTACGGGTTCATCGGATTTTGAGTCGGGTGGGTTATGGGCGAATCGGGTTGCGGGTTGTTCGGGTCAGCGCATCGAGTAACTTACTTCTTACTCGTTACCAACTACCTCATATAAATACTTAGTTTTAAAAAAACTAGTCAAATGTTGAATCAATTTATTTGACTATGAAACTTGTTATGTAATTAATCGTAATTGGTAAAGTACACTAGCTAATAGTAATGGTTATATCAACATTTGCAACCAAAAGACACAATTAATTATTTATTTGGTATTTTAATATTATTTCAATAGTAAATGGATTAAAATATCTCGTTTAGTATAACCATGCAAATCTGGTATTTGGCGTGTGGTATTTGGCAAAAGTAGAGTGGTAAAAGGAGTTATTTCGAAATAACTCATTGCCCTAATAACTTCAGTAAACTGTTGTCAAACGAGTTATTTGTAAATTGTTCAAATTACCCTAAAAATTGAACCATTAAAGACTAACTATCAAATTAAGTAAAATTGTTGTGACTTCAATCATAACTTACTCAATAACATATATCATATACACTTAGCCTTACTCTCAATCGACAATATTAAGTTAATATATGTTGTTGATCGTATACCATAAACCATCAATATATTATACACTAACAACATGCCTTATACCCTAACCATATATCCCTATGAGTTGTGATTTTGCTAGTATAGTTAATTTAAAGTGAAATTCGTACTTTGATTGTAGAAACATAGATAAAAAAGTGATATTTGCTATACCCTAACCATATATCCTATACTCTACACCATATACCTTGTCCTCTAACCACGTACCATAAACATAAATTAAAAAGGGATCCCCTACCGTTAAAGATTTTAAATGACTTCAAGTGAACATAGGTTAATAAAAAAACTTAGAACCGTCAAAACCATGAATACCTTATACACCATAAACTATCTGTATCTTATACCATATACCTTAACCATATACTTTATACCCTAAACAACGAACCGTCAAAAATTACTTATCAAGTTTAGTATAATTTTTGGCCATATTCACCAGCCCATAAATTTTCCATTCCCAAGTTCCCATCCAAATCTCCCTATCATTTTCCACTCCAAAGTGACCCGCAACCCGATTAACAAAATATTTCAAGCCTGCAACCCGACTGAGTTATTGCAATCATAAGACTTAACAAGCCAAGTTTAACACCCATTTTGAAATGAAAGTTCAACTTGAACACAACTTAAATGTGCGAAAATTTTACTAAGTGTTGTAAAATAACGATCATGTAGTGTTGAAATTGCAATAAATGTAAAAGTATAGAAAACAAGTAGACAAATTAAGTGAATTTTTCTAAAATAAATGATTTTTGTAAACACCAAATTTGTTTTATTTTTTCTTTCTCACAAAAGAAATTGAAATACTAAAATTTCCTTCCTTCTTTCTCCTTCCATAAATTAGAAACACTCATTTTTCACTCCTCTTTCACTTCCATTTGAAGAACCAAATTCCCTCTTCCTTCCTTCCACAAAAAGTTGAAAACTCAAAATTTACCTTCTTATTTCTCTTTCATAATCAAAAGAACACAAACTTTCCCACTTCTTCACTTTCCACAAATCAAAACCACCAAAATTTCCCCTTTTTATTTTCTAAAAAATTCAAAAAACCTAATTTCCCTCTTCTTTCTCTTCTCAAAAAGTTGAATATACCAAAATTTTCCTATTCTTTAAAAGCATCAAATTACCAAATATATTGTTTTACTTTATTTATATTTAATTGGTAACTTTATTGAATAGTTAAATTAACCAAAATTTTAATTTATATATTATATTAATATTGTCCATGATGTCAATTATTTATTATTAATATTCACATTGTGCTGATTTTATATTTCCTATTTACTTTTTAAATTTTTTTAAAGAACTTAATGTTCAAGTAACCTTCATGTATCAATTTTTGTAATTTTCTTAAAATACATAATATCAAGTGAGTTTCA